TCATCATAATGTATGTTTGGAAACTTTGCGAAAGAAAAACGTTTTAATTAAATAACATTGTGACTAAATAAGGTACTAATAAGATTCGGTTTCGAAAATTTTGTTGAGAGAAATATCAATCCCTGATTCCGAAATCAATGCGAACTCAATGTTATCCGCATATATATGCAATATATATGCTTGTGTTCAAAAGACATTAAAATCTTTGGATTTATCAGTATCAGTCATGTAGTGACCACGAAGTGTCAAGAATTATGATAGATAGTTGGTATAAGACACACGAGCAGGCATTCTCAGGATTATATTCGAAAGATATCAGCTGATAGATCTTTTTGTCCGTTATATTAATCGATGGGAAGAAATCGATGTAATTTCCTCGAAGATACCTTTCGCGTATACTTCATTGCCGTAATAAAATTTTATCTGTCATAATGCAAACGAACCGTTGTAAAAGAAATTCCTCGCATCGTCCTCTTGCCCTCCATTTATCCGCGGAATACAAATTATCATCAATCTCTAAATATGCAGAATGCCTAGGGCTATCACATATTTTAGTAAGACGAATCGGAAATGAATTTTTTTCTACTTATCGCCACTATTAAATTTATAATCGAATTACATTCAAATCAGTCAAATTGTAATTTAAATTATTTTTTTAATCATTTTTATATAGGTCGCCATTGCTTCTATTAAATATGTCGTTAATTTAATTGCAATGATGGAGTTAAACAATTTAGTTCAAGAAAATGTATTTTTTTTTAACTCTAATTTATTATTTACTAAATGCGTACGTTAATAGCCGTTATTTATTTTAAAGTTAACCATAAAAACAGAGTGATTTATATTTTCACAAACATGAAAGTTAAAAATATAATAACAAAATATTATTTAACTCAAGGGATTTTAATTACAATTACTTCTTTAATACCTAATACAAAAATTCCATTTCTCGATTAATCTCAAATTAACTTTCGAAATTTGTTTTATTTTCAGACATTTTGAAAAGTTGATATTTAATAGGCTGCAACAAATTATAGTCCTTTACGGCAGCTGGGACATAATTACACGAGTTTATTATATCGAAGATAAAAACATTATCCGAGCTCATTCTCGAAATCATCGGCGCCGTCGAAATTACGCAATGCTTAAGATGCGACAGCGCGATATCCATCGAGACACAAACCTTAATTTCCAAGATATATCGCCATCTAAACACAGACATGTTCTCCACCGCGCTAATCGTGCCTGATACACCCCGGTAATTACTCATCCCGCGGTTTTAATGAAATCCGCTGTGATTTAACGTTAGATAGAAAAGTAGTATGCGCCACACGAACAAGCATGCGTACGAACTGAAAGGTGGACGGGAGGGAGGACGTGACGTACGGGGACGAAATCAAAGCACAAGCGAAAACCGGATGCGCAGGTGAAGTCTCAGTAATAGGGGTACTCGCAATTTACATATGTATCCACTAGCCTAGCATATACGTGAAGCAGTCCTTAGAGTGTATCCCCCGTACGAGACGAACGATGTACGTTCTATCTATCCCTCGTTCTTTTTTTCTTCTTTCCCCCATCTCTCTCTTTTCCGCCTTTACAAGTCTCCGTTCCTTTTTTTAACCTTTTACTCGTGTTACCTACCTAAGAAGTACACCGGTTACGTACAAGCAGCACGCAATGCGACACGATCCATGCTCGTATTATTCCGAAATTCGACCGTCAAGCGCGAGCTTCTTTCGATTCGTTGCCGCTTTTAGTTCTAATCGGTATTCGCCGGTCCAGTGAACTTATGTCCATTTCCATCAATGTAGATTAACTTTAATCTCGGTTCTACTCTTCTTCTTTTTCTTCTTCTTCTTTTCTGGTTCTAAAGATTAGAAAAAAGACAAAGAGTAAGTTGAAGAGATTAAAGTTAATCTACGTTGATGGAAATGGGCATCAGACATTTTCTTCAACTACATTGTGAAAAATGATTTATAACAAATGTCTTTCATATTATATAATTTTATGTTACATAGTTTTATTCCTCGGATTTCGACTTTCAAATTGGAAAAAAATTATTCAATTTTAAGCAAAGATTAATTTTTTTGTATATTGAAGTACTGGGCATCAAGAAAATTTCGGAACGAATATCGATTAACATCATGCGTGCGTTTTCACTTCTTCTCGAAAGCAACGGGCAACAATATAGCGGAAGTTTCTTCTTGCGGATCTTCAGGGCTCCATCAAGATGAAATTATGTATTCTACAAGTATTATTATGTCGGTTTCGCTCGAAATGCTTTAATGAGAGAACGATATTACGTCGAACATTTTATTCGATTATTTGCGGCATTACGTATACACGTCGGTTATCAATTATATCATATATTATAAGTTATTATTATTACAAGTTTCATTTAATAGGCAGTTTAGAGAGAAATCCCTCGAGTAAGGATATGATAGAAAGAAAGTTGCAAGATTTATTTCAAATTTCAGAAATAAATAATTGTGATAAATACACGTGGACGTGACATTACTACGAGATATAAAATTATGACAAGGAATCATTGTGTAGTTCTAGTGATAATTGATTTATAAATTATAATAAAATTATTAATATAAATTATTAATAAAATTAAGATAAATTTTTTTATTTACAATTAAAAATTAGCGAAATTATAATAGTTTCAATCTTTGAAGGAAATAAAAATTTATTGAAATCATTATAATTAATTTATCTATAAGCTCGTAAACGTAAGAATTCATTGCTAACGTCGAATCATAAAAATTTAACCAAGTCGCAAAGAAAAATATTGGAGAAATACTCGAAGAATAATTCCACGCCGCACGTGATCAATGAATACTATTAATACAACGGAGAGAAAATTCATAATGAAACGTACACGGGATGATAGTAAACAAGATGAAGATTGCACAGACAAGAAGAATATAGCAACGCGCTCGCGGCGCAGTATTTCATCGCCGTGAAATCTATGTTTGCATTTCGCCGGGAATGAAGTTTTCGCCTAGATGATCGCGCATAAATTCATTGTCTAGACGGTGCAGGTATGCCAGACGCAGAATTGCGGCTACGGAATCGACTACCACATTCACGCGCCTGAGATTTTTCCGCGCAAAAACCCACGTATATATGCACGTACGTCGGTGGTGCATTGAATGATCAGATCTTCGGTCCGTTCGTGCCTGTGCAAACAGCCGCCGAGGAAAATATTTGCACAGGATAACTCGGGTCCTCATTATCGGGGTGGCTGGTCTTTCTCTCTCAGGGACAACGGTTGTCCAGGTGTGCGAAGAGGAACGTAGAAGGAACACGTAGGTAAAACGAGGACGAGAAAGAGGGAGAGAGAGAGAGAGAGAGAGAGAGAGAGAGAGAGAGAGAGAGAGACGGAGGAAGAAAGGGTGGAAGGAGGGAGATTGATTCGACATGCATAAATTAGAGAGGATGAGCCTTTATTCCATAGCGCGACTCACGGGATCGGGATCGGGATTGGAATTGGGATGCACGAGAGAGGAGAGTATAAATTGATGACTGCAGGCAACAGGCAGGGGTTTATAATAATTAATCTTCGTACATGTATACGTATTTACGATGTAACCCTCCTCTCCTCCTCGTCCTTCGTCGCCCGTCTCCTCGTCATCTGCTCCGACCCGGTGGCAATGCGCGAGATTTCTTTCTCGATCCGCGATTAAGTTTATCCCTGACGTCCGCAGACAGGTGATGCGCGTATTGCAAAAAAGGCAAGCGTCAAAATGTAAATTTGGAAGTAAAAACCATGCAATGAATAAAATTCTGTAGCTTGGATTTAAAAAGCTATATTCGTACGCGCCATGTTAGAACCATAAAGTAACCATAAAGTAAGAATTGAAAGAAAAGATTGGCTGCTGTAGCAAATTAGATGGTAAAATATGGCATAGCATTTTTAATTGGCAATAGCGAATTGCAGTAGTCAATTTTTGATTGCGTTAGCCTATCTGCAATCAAAAATTAGCTGCTGCAATCAATTAAAAATACTTTGCCATATTCAGCCAATCTTTTCTTTCAGTGTAGGAATAAAAATTTAAGAATTCTTTTTTTTATCTGCCATTTCAATATTCGTAAAAAGTAGCTAAATGAAATCAGCCTGATTTGCCATATGACGCTTGAACTTTTTTCATTGAAACGCACGCTCAAGTACGTCTCATACGCGCACTCTTGTGAATCTTGTCGTCATTGATCGTCCCTGCAAAGCAGCCGGAAGGTATTACTTCGGCGGAAAGTAACGACTGATGACAAATATCCAGGTGGCTAAGCACAGAGTCGAAAGCGTGTACGTTCTCTCTCTTTTTCTCTCGCGCATGATGCGATTAGATATCACGATGTACGCGACGGCAATAAATTACCGGCATAACCATCCGCCGATGTGCGATGCACTTCCACCGTTGGTGGTCATTGCTAAATTGAAGAATCATCAGTGCGGCTTATGCACCGCGATTATCGCTAATTGATAAATTCGATGGGTCCGTTGTAATTTATTACATTCTACCGGGCCCGGTTATTTCTAACTGTTATCCTGCGGCACATTCATTACCACAGCCTTCGGGGGAAATCTTTTTCTATTCTTTTTTTATGCGACACGTTGCAGTGTCGCTTATGGTCGTCGCCAACAGCAGAAGAGAGAATTAGCTGCTCGATGAAAATTGTCGGCCGTAGATATATTATATACTTCCTTTTCCCAAGATGGATTTATAGAACATGTTGTTCAAGCGACATTGAAAGCACGAGTCCTTATATCTTTACTGAAGAGAGACAGTTAATTATTACACCTTCTATTAACTCACGCTAATTACATTTTACGTCGTATACCAAACGTAGTAATTTTGATAGACTTGTAAGTGATAATGCGTACAACTTAAACATCGTAGTAATTAAATATCTATGCAATTATGCTTCGTGAGATAATTGTCCGCAGTCGAGTACTTGTGGTTTCAGTAATTAAACGAATCTTTACTTAATTACAGGCGACGCAGTCGCAGCGAGGAGGACACCAACGGTACCGTCGTCAGCGACGACGCACAGCAGCAGCAGCAGCAACAGCAGCAGCAACAAAGTTACGTATCCGGGCAGCGTGAACCGGAAGAAGAGGAGGAATTGGGAGCGGAGGAGGCGGCGGCGCAAACCCTGCAGAGCGGCGCCGAAGGCGCTGATCCGGAAGTCCATAAGAGGGTCGCCGCGGTGCAGGTGCAGGTTCAGGGTATGGAGGGTGATTGGCGCGCCTACTGTGAGCATCCGCTCTCCGTAGCGACCGCGGCCATGCTAAACCTTCAGCAGCAGCATCAGTCGACGGTAGCTAACCACAACGATGATCCTGCCGCGTCCTATGTCTATGAATACTACAAATTGCCCGAGAAACCGGCGGATGTCAAACTACCGTCCACCCACGAACTCTGGTCGACGTAAGTGTTGATTTTGTTATTGTAAAATTTAGTATGAAATACGAAATCGTATAATATAGAAATACTCGTATCGTATAATCTCGAAATACGGAATCGTATAATATATGATTAAGCGGTGTTTTTCATAACTTTCCGAAATCATACATTTTTAGTTCTCTTTATGTATACTCTCTAAACTTTTTGAAATGGAATCTCACTGTAAAGAGTAAAAATTGAGCCAGCCTTGAAAAAGAGTGGCTCAATTTTCAATCTTTAAGAGAGGATTTCTTTCTTTGCAGTGAGAAAGATTTATTCTAAAAGTTTTAAAGAGTTGATCATCAGTACCTTCAAATTTTCGTTTACGTCTTAAACGAAAATATCTTTTCATTTTTCATAATATACCGACTGTTTAATTCTAAAGTAAAATTTCGTCATGTGAATTTTATCTCCAATAAAAATCACCTAAAGACAACGGCCGCTATTATGCATGCTTTATGCAACGTTCTCTTGCTACTTTGAAGTTTCGCGGGTATCTCGCTGTCTCGCTATTTCAAATTCTCATCCGCACGTGTAAGCTTCGTAATCATACGCGAGGCGAAGGAAAGAAACGCGATTTTCCACGGCTCGATCCACGGAATATAATCACGCTCGTGCGAATGCAGGAAGATTTTATACGCTTCTCGCGCATTTAAATAATTCAGAAATATTCGTGTTCTCCAGGCTCTCCATTAAGATTAACTGGAATTTTTGCAGAGTCTGGGACAGAAACAATTTCCTTAAAAATAACTTTTAAATTGAAACTGATTTTTGCTTTTAGATCATATAACAAAAGCTATAGATATAAACCTTTCTAACGAATAAAGTCTGAATAAGATTGAAAGGCTTATACATTATAAGATAAAATAAATCTTTGCAATACTTAACGATCTTAAAATAAAGCTATAATAATAATTTATCTATTTTTAAAAATTAAATTATCTCTTACGTTTTTCCTGTGTATTTATGTAACTTTTTTATACAATTATTTCTCTCTCTCTCTCTCTCTCTCTCTCTCTTTCTCTCTCTGTTGTCCATGTTATAATAATTTATATAAAAGAGGAATTGAGGGAATAATGATTTTCCTCAATGTTTTCGAAAGTGCATAGCCTTGGTAGAGCAATCTGCAAAAGTACCTTTCGCGCCGCTCTTGTATGTAACGCACGTAATTTTATGCACTTGCGCGGCTCTTCTTCGCTCGATGCACTTAATTTAGAAGCGCGCTCGCCGCGCGCGTGCACGTGGCCGCGGCTCATCCATAAAGACACGTGCGTGTGCGTGTGCGTGCGCGTGATGGCTATACGTACCGGGTGCATCGGGAGGACTCGATTAGCGTAGATCCGCAGATAGTCCCGCGTGGCGCGTCCCGATGTTACAGCGAACACTCTTAGCGCGTTATTAGCTATTCGTGTTTCGCCGTATCTCGATTAATAGCTTCGGCCACGTAATTGAGCGCTCGCGGTGAGCATAATTCGTTACCGCAACCGATTGCGCGGAACAATCGCGTGTAAAATCGACTAGCGCAGAGAGACGTTTGACGCGTTAATTAGGTGCTTCGCGTTCTACCAAACGTAGATATATTTCTGTTATCTTAATTGCGAGATAAATGCAGAGAAGGGCTATGCATCAATCCGATATACTGTTAATACGTTTAACTTGTTTTCTCTTTGAATATATTATTGAACGATGAATGAAATTCTTGTTAATCGATTCGCATGAATAGATATCTTTTCTAATGTTAAGAGAAATGTAAAATTGTAAAATTGTTGATATCGCAAGAAAGAGGCATAAAATGCTCCGAATTTTTCACATTGGCGAAGCCCATTTACGTAGATTATTACATTTACGAGGTTCGAGGAAAGAGCAATCACAATTCTTTCTTCAAGAGTTTATCGATATTCCATAAATCTCTCGTACTAAATGAGTACGCAGCGTGCCGTCGATAAGTAGGCCTTTCTTTCCCTCTCTCCCTTCTCTCTTTTTCTCTCTCTTTCTCACTCTCACTTTTTCTCTTCTTCTTTGCTCATATAGAGAACCGCGAACGTTCCCGATTCTACATCACTCTCTTCTATATTACTTGGAAGCAATTTAGTGGAGTTTTAGTTGGGTAGATATATTGCTCTCCAGTCAAGCCTATTTATATCTCGCGTTCGAGTCTTCCGGTCCATTTGCTCAGTTTGCAAACTGCACCATCGCATCGGCGTTCTACGCCTTGCGTAAGAAGGAGAGAAAGAGAAAAAGGGAAA